CGGAGCCCCCTCCTGCGCCCCGAAGCTCCATCCTCCGCCCCGCCCCGGAGCCCGCACGCCAGTCCCACGATATCGGGTCGCGGCAGCACCGATTTTCCTCCACGGAGTCATGAGAAAAAAAAGTTGGAAAGCCGCCGCTGTTGTAAAACGAGGCACCCACCTAGCGGGGCTGAAGTAGCCCCTGAAAGGCCTCTGCCCCCCCCCGGTTTGAGTACCCCGGTTGAGCCTGGGGGGGGCAGTTGTTCTGGGAAAGCAGCCTGGCGAGGGAAGAGGGGTAAATCCTCCCCTTCGCCTTCGAGGGCTTTGCCCCCGCGTCACTGAGACCGAAATCTGGCCCTGGGCCTTGTTAACGGGTTACAGACAATCGAAATTTCCCAGCGGGTGCATAACGATAGGGCCCCTCCTCCGCTGAAAGCGGGGGCGGGGGGAGGCAAGCCCCCAGCTTCACCCCAGCCCCGCCCCTTCTGTCAAGGCCCCGCCCCCAACAGGTTCCAAGCCACCTCCCCGCCCCTCCCCCCACCATGGATAGGCGGAACAGCATGCCGCATCCCCTTCCCTAAGCACAGGGAGGGCGGGCGCTCGGGGGCAGCAACGCTCTGCCCACCGTGGGTCTCGGTACTCCCTGGGGGCGGAGCATGGGCGGGGCCAGGATGGCGGGTCGAGAAGGCAACGCCTTCCCTTGCCTAGGGTCCCTGCCGTCCCTGGCTGAAAGCATCCTGCCGCGCCTGCATTCATCCGACCTGCCCACGGGCCCGCTCATCAAACCGGGTCGCGCTGTGGCCAAAGGACGGGCCAGCGCACGGAGAATCCGGAAAGAGCTCAGAACTGGCGTCCGAAGGATCGGCCTCGCCCCAGCGCCCCGCTCCCGCAGCCCCCGCGGGGATTCACCTAGCCAGCCCGTTTCAAGAAAGAGATTGGCGAGCTCTTGGGGAAATCCAGTGGCTGAACGGGAGCGGAGCTGTTTGGAAAATCAGGCCCTGAATGTGGGGGGCCGGAGGTTTTGAAAACCTAGGCCGGTGGAGGTGGGGGCACGTCTTGGGGCTCCTGTGAATGTCAGTACCCTTCTGTAGCTACCGCCGGCATCCCCTGGGATTTTAATTTGGGGTGCCACTGATCTGGAAAAGATGCCCTTGCTCTATAACAGATTCTGGGGGACAGGGGAGCTGACAGATTTGCCAAGGGCAAGGTGGAGGAGACGGCTCCCACGTTCCCAGAAGGGGCGGGCCTCCGGCAGAAGGGGCGGGGCTGAGGCAGCCAGACCTCAGCACTGCCCAGAGCACACTGCACGGTGCTCCAGCGGCAATGTAAAGGATCTGGGGCTCTGGCCGCCTCTGCTCCTGCAGTATCAGCAACGTCAGCTGGGAGCCCCAGGCCTGTTTCAAACCCGGAGCTGGGAGCAGCTGCCCCCTTACCCACCCCGGTAGGCGGGTTTGCTGGGGGACATTTTAGTGATCAGCACCTTCCCCCCTGTGGCTTTCTCCAGTGTTTTTCCACCAGTGGTACCAGTACCCTTAGGAGTACTCGAGAGAAGTCTGCGGGGTACGTCAGCACAACTGAAATTTGGAGAAAACTGAATTTTTGTTTTAAGTTTGACAGCGCTTTATTATTTTTGGACTTTTTACACCCCATTCACCTCAACCTTCCATCACCTGCCCAGCTATGATTAAGTTGTTTACACAACTGTGTTGCAATGATAGAAAAAAAATGCTGTGTGTCTGAAAACTGAAGGTATTGGGGTACTTTTTTTTTTTTTTAAAGGGGGTACTTTATAAAAAAAAGTTTGAGAAACACTGTCTACCCGGGAGAGCGACACTGTGGAGATCGATCTCTTGGGAGTTGATTTATTGGGTCTAGTAAGGACACGATAAATCGATTGCTGATTGCACTGCCGTCGACTACGGTACCTCACCGGGGTCAATCCCCCACGGTAGGGATGCTAAGGCACGTCGACTCCAGCTACTCTATTCACCTAACTGGAGTTACGTATTGAAGCGTGGAATTATAGAACCTTAGAACTGGAAGGGACCTCGAGAGGTCATCAGATCCAGCCCCCTGCCCGCACGGCAGGACCAAGCACCATCTAGATCATCCCTGATAAATGTCTATCTGACCTGCTCTTAAATGTCTCCAATAATAGAGATTCCACCACCTCCCCAGGCAATTTATTCCAATGCTTATTCACCCTGACAGCCAGGAAGTTTTTCCTACTCTCCAACCTAACCCTCCCTTGCTGCAATTTCAGCCCATTGCTTCTTGTCCTATCCTCAGAGGTCAAGGGGAAAACATTTTCTCCCTCCTCCTTATCACACCCTTTTAGGGACTTAAAAACGGCTCTCATGTCCGCTCTCGGTCTTCTCTTTTCCAAACTAAACAAGCCCAGTTCTTTCAGTCGTCCCTCCTAACTCCTGTATCTTAAATCGACTTTGCCCCTAGTGTAGATCTGTTTGTCTCCAACATCTGGCTGCAGCTGGCCAAGAGGATGCCCTAGAGCAGAGACTCTTCATTAGGGCTATGCATAGCCCGGGGGGGTCACACAGGTCTTCCAGGGGGTATCTCGACCCCTTTGCCTTGTTTTTGCAACAGGCTACCTGAAAAGCACCAGCAACGTCTGTCTGAACGCAAGTGTCACCCGGCGCCGCACTGAAACGCAAGGGCAATGGGTCGAGTCCAATCCCCTTGTTTGATCCAGGCCAAGCGAGACAGGAAGCCCCATGCGCGGGAACGCTTTGGGGGGGGGACGCAAGCCAAATCCGGCTCCTGAAAAGGGAAGTCGTCTGGCAAGGCAGAGAACAACCACCCTAGAGAGCTCAGGTCTCAGACAGGGAACAGGGAATGGGTCTGGGCCAGGAGCACCCCGAGATGACTCTCCTCACCCCTAGGGTTGCCGGGTGTCTGGTATTGACCCAGACAGTCCAGTATTTTCGCCTCCTGTTTGGTAAAAAAATCAGAAAATACTGGACACCTAAAATGTCTGGTATTTCCTGATTTTTTTTCCTTGCCAGGAGGCGAAAATACCAGACACCTGGCAACCCTACGTCACACTCGGCAACTGGGCCCGGTCCTCCTGCATACCTGGTTCCGCAAGGAAGCTGCGTTCTGGCTTGATCAAGAAAACAAAATGGCTGCTGGCAAAAAGCCTAAAGACCAAGGGGAAGCAATGCCTTCCCTGGGTCTTAGTGCTCAACTTCTCCCCTGTGCCTATCCCTATTCTGACTCTGCATGCAGTGAAGGGGGCCGTGCTGTTTTATTTATTTATCTTTCTTAACAATTTTGGTTCAGCAGTTTGTTTGTTTTTTGGGGGGGGAGGGATGTTCGGTATTTTTGGTTAAACCATCTGACAACCCTACCAGCCCCTCTGGGGTCCCCTCCCCAGCCGGAGCTTGCCGACGCTCCGGAGAAGGGCTCTGTTTATTTACCCCCATGACTTGCGAAAGCCCAGAGGGCCGAGTCAAGCGCGTGTGTTCACAGGCAGCCTGCCAGCTTTGCTTTCCAAACACCTCTGCCAAGGCAGCTCCCGACAATGTGCCCTTTTTCTAGGCCTGGCCTGGGCCCCAGCACAGCCCGGGCTCCCTCCTGCACCAAGCGGTCGCTCCCCCCGTAGCATCACCCTGCAGCGAGCCCCAGCTGTTCAAACCCCGTCCCGCTGCCACGGACCCGCCGGTCCTTCAGGATTCCACTGGCGGGTGGTTCTTTGCGGGGCACCCACTCCAGAGCCCTCTGCCAGCTGCTTTTAGCCTTCTCCGGGGCAGCAGTGGGTCTTCCAAGCCTAGGCACCGTGCAGAGCTCGGCCAACCTGCCTTTCCCAGGTGGCTCCATTCCCGAGCTGTCCTGCCAGCTCTACCAACCCACCTCTGCCCTGCTCAGCCTCTCTGGAACCAGGACAGCTAAGTCATGCGGGCAACCCAGCCAAACAGCCCCCTCGGGGGATGTTAGACAGGGTTTGGGCCCCAGACAGGAGCCAAGACGTGTGCAAACCTCCCCTTGCCAGCTGGGACCCGAGCAGCAGCAAGTAGGAAAACATTTCCCCTTGGAGCAGCGGTTTGCAACCTTTCCAGATGACTGGACCCCTTTCCAGAGGTTGATTTGTCTTCTGGGCCCCCCCAAAGTGCACGGCACGTAAAGCTTGCTTGCTTCCGAAAGCAGACGTAGAAATACAGAACCGTCGCAGCCCGCTAGTACTGAAAAATTGCTCCCTTTCTCATTTTTACCATTTCATTCGCAAATACACCGGCTGGACTCTAAATAGCGTACTTACCGTTCCACATAGAGTCTACAGAGCAGAAGAACCAAGCCACTGCAGGACTTTTGGGTTGGTACCGACTTCGCCAGGGCTTTTTAAACACAGTCTGTTGTAAAACCAGGCGAATGCCGTGGGGAAAATCTGTGTACCCCTGGGGTACATGTACCCTGGGGAGAACCACAACTTCAGAGGCCCGCAGGAGAAAGATCTGCAAATTCAAGGGATGCATTTGTTCTGCAGGTTTGAAGTCTCGATCCGAACCCCTGAGTTCTGCCTTCTAGCCTGTGCCATATAAATCCTCTAGCATAATATCCCCACTTCCACCCCAACCAACCTGCCTCCTGGACATACCAGACCCAGCTTCTGACCCCAGACATGCCCGTGTAAATCAGCAACATCTGCCCCCAAAAGCGTCGCTCTGGGCTGACAGGGGGAGGAGAAAATGACCAGCAAATCTCCCCCCAGCCATGCAGTGAAACTGACCAGATAGAAGGACATTGCCACCTTAAATCAAAGCAGGCAAAAAAAAAAAAAATTCCAATTCCAAAATAAAGGAGTCTCAAAAAGGCAGCCTAGTTATGCAAGGTGTTATCTAACAACCACAAAGACATCAGATACCGGACCATTGTCTGGAGAGGTGGGGGGAGTGGGGAGGGGAAAGGAGCTGGAATCGATTCCAGCTGCCCAAAGAGGCGGGTCCGTGCTTTGGCTCCACCCACCCCAGGTCCCTGCTGCTCGGGTATAAATATGGCCCTGCAGCTGGCTGTTGCTTGCAGAGCTCAGGAGCCAGGAGCAGCCTGCCCGTTCCTCGCCCGTTGCCCCAGACCGGATTCCACCATGTATAAGGAACTTCGCACCCTGGCTTTTCTCCGGGCCATCTTGGCCGAGTTCTTAGCCACCATGATCTTCGTCTTCTTCGGCCTCGGCTCAGCCCTGAAGTGGCCCTCGGCTCTGCCCAGCATCCTTCAGATCTCCCTGGCCTTCGGCCTGGCCATCGGTACCTTGGTCCAGATGTTCGGGCACGTCAGCGGGGCGCACATCAACCCGGCAGTGACCATCGCCTTCCTGGTGGGGAACCACATCTCTGGTGGCCCAGCTGGTGGGAGCCATTGCCGGGGCTGGCATCCTCTACCTGGTGACCCCGATCAACGCCCGGGGGAACCTGGCCGTCAACGCGGTAAGTCTCTTCCCGCCCAGGGATGATCCACTGGGCTTGCGAGAATTCCCAGCTCGGTGTCAGGTATCGGACCCCCTGCGGGAGCTGATGGCCAACCCCAGCGCTGGGGCCCTGTCCCTGCACAGAGCTGGGGCGCGGAGGGCAGCCTTAGCTTACCTGAGACTGCACTGACAACGCGGCTGGATTGCACCCTGCATGCCAGGAGGCGGGTTGGTTTGTTGTTTTTTTTTCCCCTACCTGCTTCTCTTATCCTGAGGGCAGGAGTGAGTCACCCGCCTTCCAAATGGGCTTAACTCCAGCCTCCCCTCCTGGAGCCAGGAAGATCAGAGCAGGGAGAGGAGGAGTCGAGTCAGGGCTGGCGAGGAACCCACTTAAACCCGTAAATGGGGAGACCAGCATGCCTAGTAGGAGGAAGGTGGTTGAAGATCCCTTAAACCAGCGGGGAAGGGTGCACGGACCAGCAGAAGGAGTGTGTTTGGGAGACCACTTAGGGCAGCAGAGGGAAGAGTGGAGAAGATGGGGGGGCTCTGTTTTTTGGGGGGAGGGAGGGAGATTAGAAGCCCCGTTAGATCAACACCAGGGCAATTTTGGAAGCCAAGCTGAGGGCCCCGGGAGACCTCTTAGCTCAACAGCGGGGCGTGCGGGTGATAGGAACACCAGTCAGACCAGCAGCTGGGGGGTTCTGGGCACCCATTCCAACCAGTCCAAGGAGGACCCCGGACTGGGCGGGTGTTGACTCTTGGAGACTTCAGCCTGGAGGAGGGACTTTGTTCTGCTCACCGATTGTTCTGTGTCCTTCCAAGCCCCCCCTTCCTCATTAACTTTGGTCACCAGCCAGACTTTGCCTGGGTTTACCTCCATGGGCCTCAACTTCTCCCTCTGTAAAATGGGGAGAAGGATTGAAGTGCTCAGCACTTCCTCCCCCTCCCCCCCCAATCCCAGTGGGGCCGGATGCTTCTGCAGCGCAGCTCAGGGGAGACCCCAGGTGGGGGCGGTCCATCCCTCCCCAATAGTGGTTCCCCTCTATTCCCCCCAAGTCCTCCCCCATCCTGATCCCCTCCCTCCTTGTAGTGCTCACGGAAGGACTGAGGGTCTCTGGCTGAACTCGCCGCCGTTTCGGTGGCTTCCTGCTTAGCAAAGGGAGAAATCCGAAGGGGAGGTGCCATTTGTGACTGCCGGGGGAGGGGGGAATGCAGCGAGGATGGAGCTAAGCAGGGGGTAAGGGGACGGACGGACGGACCCTTTCACCCTCCTCCTTGTTCATTGCAGCTCAACAACAACACGACCCCAGGCCAGGCGCTGGTGGTAGAAATCATCCTCACCTTCCAGCTGGCCATGTGCATCTTCGCCTCCACCGACAAGCGACGGACCGATGCCTTGGGCTCCCCGGCGCTGTCCATCGGCCTCTCCGTCACCCTGGGCCACCTGGTCGGGGTGAGTGTCCGCTTCAGCGTCCGGGTAGCCTGGCCCTGGGGAAAGCTCCCAGCTGCTCTCACCCCAGCCTCGCCCAGTAGGGGGCGCTGTGATTAGTAGGGCTGAAGGGGTGGCTATTGCAGGACGGGGGGCTTTCAGCTGCTCCAGTCCCTGGCTCTGCCAGCAGGGGGCGCTGTGATTAGCAGGGCTGAAGGGATGGCTATTGGGGCACAGGGGGGGCTCTCAGCTGCTCCAGTCCCTGGCTCCTCCAGCAGGGGGTGCTGAGAAAAAGGGCTAAGTGTAAGTCAGCAATGTTGGCTGTAGGGTGGTGTCCAGTTATCCCAGTCCCTCCCAGCAGGGGGCACTGGCTGTGGGGGGAGCCCCCAATCCTTCCGCGCCCCCCGGAGTGAGCTTGCCTTTATCCCCACCTCCCTTTCCAGATCTACTTCACTGGCTGCTCCATGAACCCCGCCCGATCCTTCGCCCCTGCTGTGGTCGTGAAAAGATTCAGCACCGCTCACTGGGTAAGACTGCCCCCTTCAGGACCCCTCACCCCAGTGCATTTGGTATCAGGGTGGCTGAAGAGCCGGGGGCGGGGAGCGAGGGCAGGGTGTTTGAGTATAAGGAATTTAGAGCAGAGAAGGACCTGAAAGGGTGACCACTGAAGGGGACCGTGGCTGGAAGACAGGGAAGTGATAATACTGCGGCTGGTGATAACACTGCGGCTGGGAGAAAGTCCATGGGGATTCTAGTCTATTGCCTGGGGTGGGTGTGGAATCTCCATCCCTGGAGATATTTAAGAGCAGGTTAGTCAGACACCTGTCAGGGATGGTCTAAACAGTGCTTGGTCCTGCCGTGAGGGCAGGGGACTGGACTCGAGGACCTCTCGAGGTCCCTTCCCATTCTAGAAGTCTATGGATCCTGCTGGGTGACGGGAGGCAAGTCACCTCCGTGGGCCTCAACTTTCCCCTCTGTAAAATGGGGAGAAGGATGTAAAGTGCTCCAGAGGGATTAGAAAACAAACAAACTTAAAACACGACGACTAGTCCTGCAGCACCTTAGAGACCCACACACCACACAGCTGGTCTCATGAGCTTTCGGGGCACAACCCACTTCCTCTGATGAAAGGGTTGGAGATGATCATTCTCCCCTTGGCTTCCCAGGTCTTCTGGTTCGGACCCATCATCGGCGGCGTCCTGGCCTCCTTGCTTTACAACTACTTCCTCTTCCCCTACCCGCTGAGCATGTCCGAGAGAGTAGCCATCATGAGAGGCACCTATGAGCCGGAAGAGGACTGGGAAGAGCAGAAGGAGCCGAGGATCAAGTCCATGGAGCTGACCGCCCCGTAATAGCGAGGCCTGGGACGAGGGGAAAAACAACCCCAAAGAACAAACAAGACTCTTAAATCGATGGCCTCCGACCCCAAAGACCCACCGTCTCTCTCGGCAAGGGAAGGGGGCCTGAGATTCCTGTGTGTCGACCCTGCAATTGCGCGTGTGAGCGGTGCAAATGTGACTGGCTGAAGAGCAGAGCGCCGACCGCCCCGTAATAGCGAGGCCTGGGACGAGGGGAAAAACAACCCCAAAGAACAAACAAGACTCTTAAATCGATGGCCTCCGACCCCAAAGACCCACCGTCTCTCTCGGCAAGGGAAGGGGGCCTGAGATTCCTGTGTGTCGACCCTGCAATTGCGCGTGTGAGCGGTGCAAATGTGACTGGCTGAAGAGCAGAGCGCCGCACGCCCGGCTCAACACGTCCCGCCAACACCAGCTCTAGGCCGGAGACGGGCGTGGGAGTGCCTGGGGTGCGTCAGGATGTTTAGCTGAATGCAGCTGCGCTTCCGCTGCCCGCCTTTGTCTTTGGGCCGCGTGCCAGATCTAAACCCTTCCCCGCGCCCCCCGGGCGGGCTGGCGGAGGTGAAACCCGCCTCAGCCTGGTGTGAATTTCACAGCCTACCTCACGCCGCGGGTGGGTGATTTCCCTGCTTTTTTCTTCCTTGTAACGCTTCAGGGGTGCCCCTCGTGGGGGCACAGGCCGGGTTGCTGTAGCCGTGTCCGTCCACGGAGGCACGGTGGGCCGGGCGATATGACTTTTATCGGACCAGCTTCGGCATGTGTGTGAGAGAGACAAGCTTCTGAGCTACCGCGCTCGGCCTGAACAAGCCCAGCTGCGAAGGACAGCCGCGTGCCGCTCGAAAGCGCGTCTCTCTCCGCCGTTACCTCCTCACCTTCCCCTTACGGGGTCACCAGAACAGGGGCCCCTCATCCAGGCCGATAGGACCGTGGGCAGCCCTCTGGCGTGACATTCAGTCGCCGGAGGTGGGGTGGGCTGGAAGTTTTAACAAGGGCGAGTCTCTCCGAGAGACCACCCGGCCTGAAGGGACAGGACCTCCCGTTATCGTGGCCCCCAATTGGCTTCGGGGGAGGAGGGTTCCAATGGAAAGCCCACGAGAAACAAGCACAAGGCCTTTCCTTTGGCCGTTGTGCTAGCAGATTGGGAGTAGGCCTCGCCTCAGTGCATTCAGTATCAGGGTGACATCCTAATAGCGTCCCCCATCCTCCCACCCCGCCACTACCCCTGCAGCTGGAGGTCTCTGGGCTTCCCCCGTTAGCCGCCAACTGCATAGGGGTACACCCCCCCCAGGCACAAGACATAGGAGGTGCAGGAGGGACAGAGAAAAGGCACCAGGAAGCCAGAGATACAGCAAAAGGGAAAACAGGCTGGGTGGGATTAAGAGGCCTGAGTTCTTTATTTTTATAATGGAGATTGCCTATCTCCTAGAACTGGGAGGGACCCTGAAAGGTCACTGAGTCCAGTCCCCTGCCTTCTCAGCAGGACCAAGTATCAGCCCTGATGAATTTTTGCCTCAGATGGCCTCCACAAGGATTGAACTCACAACCCTGGGTTTAACAGGCCAATGCTCAAACGACTGAGCTATCCCTCCTCCCTTTAGGGCATGCTTAGGGCCTGCTGCCTTCTTGGCTGGGCTGGAAATGTATTTGCTCCCTGGCCACAAGGCACAAGGCCCCAGTCAGGGAGATAGACTGAGGAGCCTGTAGCCTCAGCAGGCCAGGGCCCGGGTCCC